GGGGGTCTTGTGTTAGATATCCCCAAAAATAGTGATGTCTGGGTAGAAGGACTGTGAGGATGGTTAACAATCAAAGGTGGAATCGGGCATGTTTTGGGGGATGCAGGAGCAGACCCTACCCCCATGGTAGCACAGGGCTTCTGTGAAGAAGAAAGCAGGGCTGTGCAGTGATGCCAGACAGTGTCACAGGCATGCTTGTCCTCGAGGGGACGAGAGTGGCACCGTTTGCAGTTTACTCGTGAGATGGGGATGTCCAGGCAGAGATGAACGTGCAGGTAGCCCAGGGTCTGGCTCGCAGCACTTGGCACGACGTTCACTGAGCGAGCAGCAGTGCTGTGCATGGAACCTGCTGTTCTCCAGCCTGCACAGCAGGGCCCAGCAGGTACTGGGGCCCTGGAACTCACCCACAGCAGAACTGGCTCTTGCTGGGGCAGGAGCTGGAGGCAGGACAGCAGGAGGTGGTGCTGCTGGGTTGGAGGGAGGAGGGCTCAGGACATGATTCCCATCCAGCAAGGTCTGTCCATTCCTGCCCCCACTGGGTACCTGCAGTGGGAACAGCCCCAGCCAATGTGATGTCTCTCTTTTCCCCTCATAGCATGACAGAGAAAGAAGTGCCAGAGCCACCAGCTTCACCTGCTTCAGGTGGGAAACCCAAGAACCGGGTAAGTGGGTGCCCACAGGGCAGCTTGGGTGGGTGGGGGAAGCCACCTTTCTAGTATTGTCTCTGCCTCAGCCCCAGGAATATTTGTGGGGCCAGGGATGCCTGATGGGATCCTGATCCAGCAGGGCACTGGGTGGTCACTTCCCAGCTTGGCTTCTCCTCAGGGTGCTCAGGAGTCACAGCTTCTCTTTTTGTGGGGACCTCACAGGGCCAGGACAAGGGTCCCTGTCCTCACAGCCTTTCTGCCCCAGGATGCCTGACTCCCACCTGGGGAAGAAGGAGTCTCTAGGTCAGAACAAAGGGGTGGGGAGCCGGGCACCAGCTTCTCTGCCTGCCTGCCTCACCCCACGCTCCTGCCATGTCCAATGCATCCTCTCTCGCCCCAGCAGCTACAGAAGCTGAAGCAAATTTTCCAGCGAAAGCCCAAGGAGGAGGAAACGCCAGAGCCACAGCCCAATGGAGAGCTGGTCAGCCCCTCAGGGGGACCCATCTACTACATCTATGAGGAGGAGGAAGAGGAGGAAGAAGAGGAGGAGCCTGAGCCCCCTCCCGAGCCTGAGAAACTTGTCAATGACAAACCACATAAGTTCAAAGATCATTACTTCAAAAAGCCCAAGTTCTGTGATGTTTGTGCCCGGATGATCGTCCGTTGGGGCAAAGCCGGGTGAGGGCTCCAGCCATCACAGCTGCAGTGTCACATTGCCTCTCCTTTCCACCCCTCTGCCCCGCCTCCCCACCACCAGTCAACAACAAATTTGGCCTGAGGTGCAAGAACTGTAAAACCAACATCCACCACCACTGCCAGTCCTACGTGGAGATGCAACGCTGCTTCGGCAAAATCGTGAGTGTTTCTACTGACCTCGGGCTTGGGGCACCTCCTTGCAGAGAAAAACCAAAGCCCTGCGGCAGGGCGAGGCTGGGCATCTGCCCCGGGG